GAATGCAAGCAAAATCTTACATGTACATAAATGTACCTGCCAGATATGCTTAGATCATTTGTGTACATCCAAACAGAATTCACCTAAATGCACAAATGCAGTCATGTGTACTGGCTTGCAAACACATACTTATATGTTACACACACCTATGAATGTACTCCTCAGTATACTTGCAGGCATGCATGACCATATACCTGTGAAGTCCAGGCACACATGCACTCTCCACTCACATGTGTGTATATACTTGGATGAACCAGCTATCGGGTGGCTGTAACCTGGGGAGAAAACCCTTTAGCCTGCCTCTGGCTTTGCAGAGAAAAAACAAGCTTAAGGTTGGTGCAAGCTACCGGTAGGAGTGAGGAGTGGAACTCACCCAGGTTCCAAGTTGCCTTTTCCCACCTCCATGTTAATGCCTGAGTCTGGGACCTCCTCTGAGTTCCCTTCAGCCTTCAGGGTTCCCAGACAGAAGGGCAGAGCTTCTAGCTTTAGGCTCTGTGGTTCCTGTCTCCTTGGCTCTGGGCCCAACCCCACAGGGTGTTTTACTCTCTTATAGGTAGGCAGCTTGGGGCATTGTTGGAAGAGGGTTTCTATTTCCATGCCTGATGCCAACTTGCTGTGTGACTTTGGGCAAGTTACTGTGCCTCTCTGTGCCTTGTTTCCTCAACTGTAAAATAGGAACAAAAAGCTGTTAGAAATCCTCCCAGGACTGGTCTGAGTCGTCCATAGGGTCATGTTTATGGACGTTTTACTCAGGCACACACGTCTGGGGATGGTGTTTAGTTTCCAAGATGGTGAGACATCAGAGCGAAGGGGTCACCTATGCAATCATGGTCAACTCCTCAGTGAATAGGTGAGGAAGCTGGGTCCCAGAGAGGGAGCAGCAAGGTAGGAGCCTGAAGACCTGACCTCTGACCTCAGCCAGTAAGTCTGCTCCTCTTCCAGTATCTGTGAGCGAGTGAGCAGGTGTGTACACAGCTCCTGAGGTGAGGGTGGAGGTGGCTACCTGCTGAGGTGGGAGAGTGCCCATGCAGGACTCCTGCCACCGCGTACTGACATTTCTACCGAGATTCTTTTGGGTGTGAAAGGCGTTTTTATTGTCCTCCAGCTTCAGAATCCCCTCTAGACACCCTCATCTCCTGAGGCTTATTGGCAGTCCATGGTGAGCACCTGAAAATGCTCCCGGCCTCGTGATCTAGGAGTGAACTAGCGGATAACCACCCCCAGCAGAACTTACAGGAAATGGTGCTAGGTTGCCCTGGCTGCTGGGCGGCCAGGAGGGGGCAGTGAGGAACTGACAAGGCAGCACGACAGGAGGGGCAGCTCCCGAGGATTTTGTGGTCTGATTATGTGTGTTCCTGTAACTGCACACTAATCTTTGTCCTTGTTGGCACAAGGGCAGGGCTGTGTGCAGTGGGCGCAAGTGTTCTTGGGCCTGGGTTCCCAAGTGTGCCCACTCACGTGCGTATCTGTTATGTGGCTATCTCAGAGTGCATGAATACGTGAATCTGACAGGTGTGTGTGCACATACTGAGCAGGGTGTGTCTGTAGGAAGCCTCAGCCTATACCTAGGGAGGGAGCCCAGTACTTTCAACTCTGAAGGTCTACGATAGTTGGGCCTTCCTTCAGTCCAGGTCCATTTCAAAGCAAGAGCAAAATTAACTATTGCCTGTAAAACTGGAAATCAGGAGGTGGGTAGACAAGAGTGGAAAACTTTTAACATGCTCCCCTATGGTACTGAAGACCATGATTCCAGAGGGTGAGATTCTGAAAGCTGTTTAAAGTTGTATGGTAAACAGAGCACGAGCTCTGGCTGGAGACCCATGTCCTGGAGAACCTTGGCTCTGCTCCTGGCCGGTTACATGATCTTAGGTAACTCACTTAACCTCTCTGAACCTGTTTTTCCCATGTGTAAAATGGGGGACCTTTACCTCATAAGGTTGAAATAACATGTATGCAGTCTTGGGCAGGTAGTAGGCACACAGTAAATGCTCATTCTTCTCAGGATTAGCCCAAGAGGTGAAGCAACTTGCACAGGGTCACAGCTCCAAGTGAAGCCGTAATCTAAACTCGAGTCTCCTGCTTCCCAGAACCACATTCCTTCCCTCCAACTCCCTGGCAAGGGCGGCTCCCGACACCACCATTTTGTCTTCTCCCAGGGCAGGCGTCTGGCTGCTTGTCAGTCACCGGCCTTGGGAAGCCAAGTGCTGACTAAACACAGACTTGAGCAGGAGGGTGGAGCGAGGGGCTCTGCAGGGACGAGCTGGCTCTCGCGCCCCCTCCCCTGTACCCCCACCTTCAGCGATGAGCTCAGAGCGGCTGGCGCAGCAGTTGCTGACAATTCAAAACTTCTGCCCCCTCTCCTGGGACGCCAGTGGGTGACTCGCTCTCTGAACAGCAGGCGTGACCAGCGAAGTCACCAACCCTGCTCCCGCCCCTCTCCTGGGCCACTGCTTCTGCTGGGCCCGGAACTGGGTGTCTGTTCGTAAATTGCCCCCAGGGACAGTTACCCGCAGCAGCTGTGCTCGGAACAACCGTTGCTTCCTGGGTAGGTCATTTTTTTGGGTCAGAATGTAAACCCAGCCCCCTTGCCTAGGAGAGGGGGCGTGCAGCAGCCTAAACCTTTTATCGGATTCCATTGTAAATCGTTCTATTTAAGGTAAGTTGCTTGGTCTGAGAGGCAGACAAGATGCCGGCCAGATGTTGGGAGGCAGCATCAGCATTCAGCCTGTGCTCCTCTCCTGCTTGGCACAAGGAATTGCCAGCAGCTCATCTCCCCTAGTCCCAGCACATTCTCCGCAACTAGCTGAAGGGAGCCTGGGGATCTGGGCTTCTAGGTCCCCCAACTTGGGTTTCCTCCTAAACCAAAATGGTTTCTGGTCTTCATCCCCAACTCCCACACAAGGGTGCACTATCCACACCCAGAGGCCTCCTGCCGTCTGAGCCCACCCACACTGGACCACCCTCCAGAGGTCTGGCCACCACCTGTGGCTCTCAATGTTGCCCCCTTCTAACCACTTCTCCCATTAAAAACACACACACACACATACATACCAGAGGTGGCTGAGTGGCTACAAAGACTTTATCAAATTACTTAAAATGTTGGCATTTTTGTATTCGCATCTATACATAGTTACATGGAAACTTCAGGTCACTAGGGAGCTAATGTGGTGCACACAGCCTGGCAGGGAAGCAAATGAGACCAGGCTTGGGGCCACAGGGCTCTAAAAAACTGGACATCCTTCTAAGGACCTGAGAGGAGGAGGGCCAAGGGAAAGGGTCACTGTAGGGGTCTGGCTTAACCCCACTGCTCAGATCTCCAACTGCAGCCCCTTTCCCATCCTCGGGGAAAAGAGACCCATTTTCAGAACCCTGATGTGGCAAACACACGTAAGAGTCCACTGGAATAGGTCCTTATAAATATGTTTATATCAGAGAGAGAAAGGCACTTTGGGAGCTTTACAGCTCACTCTCCTACATGTTCATCATTCTAGACAAAAAGTAAAAATTGGTTAGTTTCTCAAGTGAGTCAACTGAGTAGAGTTAATACAACAACATTGTTCCCTAGCCCTCACTGAGGCACAAAACAAGGCACATCCCTGGGAAACACCTGGTCCCCAGGGTCAGCTGGACCCCAGTAGAGCTCAAAGGCTGATGCCCCTAGGAGGCCTGATACATCTCCTGAGCAAAAGCCCCTGGCCTTGGGGCACTCCCCCATCCCCAGGCCCTGAGGTCAGGTAAGGGGGGCTGCGGTGGGAGGCAGGCTGAGAGCAGAGCTGGGACATGGTGGGAATGCTTAAGCAGGGTCACCAAAGCCACAGAGACCTCAATCTGTCCAAGCTGGCGCTGCAGAGCCGGAGGTTTGGCGCCACGGGAAGAGATTTCACATTAGCCCTGACAACACCGCCTCGGCTTTGTGGTGACATTGGCCAGGGTCGTTTCTGAGGGCGTTCAAGCTTCCGGAGGCGAGCCAGAGCTTGGGCTGGCTGCTCTGAGCCTCCAAGGGGTCAGGAGCCTGCCCTCTCCCCAAGGCTGCTCCTTTGGAATGTACTCATCTCACAACCTGGGCAAAGCCACCAGTCTCTTCTGACACTGCCTACTGGAAGCCGGGTCCCTGGGCCACAGGAATGGGGACAGGTCCCCTGGGCTGAGCAGTCCAGGAAAGGAGGTAGCTCCTTGGCTTCAGTGCTTAAAAGTCTTTATGGGCCATTGTTCCATACTCTTACCAGCCTCGGCACAGTTTAAATAATCACTAAACTTGCATTCTACAATTCTAGGATTCCAAAGACACGAGATTACCTGCATAGGGTCCTTTCTCATCTTAGAGGGCTCTGGGTTTAAAGAAGCATTTTTGGGGGTGCACATATGCATAAGAAGAGCCCAGAAGGCCTCTCAGCTGACTGGGTCCGTTCCCCCACCCCCCACCCAGCTGAGGAGGCTTCGCAAGGCCGGCTGCTACAAAGCGCCGAGCTTGGCTGCATAGATTTTAATGAGAGCGTCAGGCAGAGCTGTGCTGTTGCTCTCCGGGACTTGCAGATCATTACCAAACCAGCTGTAGGATGAGAACACAGCACATCGAAACCCTAGGAGGTCACTGAGCTAATGATCTAATCCTACCTTCCGTAGGCAGTGCCCCTCCCCACCCCCTCCTGCCCCCAGCCCTTTCCACGGTGGACTCTGTCCAGTCTAGAAGCCAGGCCAACACCACCCCCTTCAAGGTCAGAGCAGAATGATAGTGAGTGGCAATGGCTCCCCCTTTTTCCGGAAAAGAGCGGGGTGAGGGTAATTTAGTCAAAACCATTAGGCCCAAACCCTGGCCTGGCAAGGCCCCAGGACTCCTATTTGGGAGAACCACTGCCCTCTGCCTGCCTCTCCAGCCACTGTGGGCTACAGCTGGGGGCACCTTCAATGGCCATTTTAGGGTTTTAAAGAATGCATCTTCAGCTTCCAAAGTGCAAGGTGGAAAGCAATGCGGGGGCACACATGGCCCGGTATGCTCTGCACTAGAGCCAGGTGCCGGCCTTATGCCAGAGACACATGACCTGGGGAGAGGGAGGAAGGCACTCTCCGGAGCAGCCCCAGCAGGAGGGCATGCTGGCTCCTACAGGCTCAGTCCCTGCCTGAGTTCAAGGAAAGAAGGCAGAGGGGGAGTATTCAGCCAGGGCACAGCGGCAGTACCTATGATTACATACTCTCCTCAAGCCGGAGGGGTTTATGAGGGCTTTGGCAATTACTACAACCATTTGCTGTGCTGGGTAGAGACAGATCCTGTTTCTCTTTGTTTCAGGGCTCTGAACGCAGGAGAAGCCAGGAGAAGCCGGTTTCAGCATAAGAGGATACACAATAGTTAGGGCAGAAGAGAAGAAACCTCATTGCTGGCCAAAGCTGACCAGTTTTTTCTGAATAATAGCACCTGTGTATTAGCTCTGGGAAAAGGGGGGAGCGAGGGAGGGAACACCACCGTGTGCAGTGAGGAGGGGAGCTGGAAACAAGACCCAGAGTCCCTCTGCTTTTCAGCCCTCATGGTTGCCAGGCCCCCCCAGGCAGCTACCTGCCGTGGCTGCCAGCCTGAGGGACTGAAGTTTCTACAGTTGGCAGAACCTATGCTAAAATTAGGGAAATAAAAGGGGGAGGAGTTGCAGAGGAATTGAAAACAGCACCTGTCAAAGCTGCCCACCCCCTTCCTTCTCTCACTACCTCTGATCCCCCAGAAGGGCAGCTCCCAGGGCCATGTGGTTGGCTGGTGATAGCAAAGGGGAAGCAAAGAATTACAAGAGAGGCTATAAGGGTCTGAGCAGCACTGATGGGCCTGGCACAGGCCCTGAGCCTTCCTGCTGGGACCCCCACCTATGGTGAGGTCTGTAGCAGAACAGAGCCAAGACTGCTCTGCCCAGGCTCCAGCAGGTGCCCACTATTTGGTCCCAGAAAGCACAGGTGACTTGGAATAAGAAACTCTGGGCTCTAGCTCTGTCACCATCCAACTGTGTGACCTTGAACAAGTCACTTCCTATTTCTAGACTTCAGCATCATTAAGAGGGTAGAACCCAAAAGGGCTCACTGTTCTTCTATTCCTATAGTTCCAAGTCTCTAAGCTTGGCTCCTGACAGCCAGCAGAGGCACATATTCCCGTGTCAGGGCTAGTTTGGTCATGGGTATTAGAGGTTAGAAATGGGCTGTGGTGCCTAGAGGCACCTGGTGGCGAGGGAGGGGCATTGAAGGGAGACCAGAACATCACACTCAGGAGTGGGAGCCTGGGAGGAAGGTAACCATCTTAGCCCTCAGAAAGGCATCATTTCTGGGCAGAGGGATCGAGACCTTCTTTAGGGGCTTGATGGCTCCTAGAATAAAGGGCATCCAGACGCAAAAAGGACTTAGCAAAAGGCAGCCTCACCCCACAGATCAGGGCAGAAGGGTGCAGCAGTCTGGCTGCTGGGGCACGTGGCCTGCTCCGCTCTCAGTGCATGGGAAAGGGGCAGGCTGTGTCCACGCAGGCTTTAGGAACAGATGGTGGCTAGCATTATTCGAAGTAGCTGAGGGCAAGGATTTTGGGAGAAGTCCACAGTTGAAAATGGCTCCTAGGGGAAGGTATCAACTCCAATTTAAACCCAAACAAAAGGATCAGCTTTGGGGTTTTTCCCTCTCTTCAATATGCAGTGGGGAAGAGGGAACATTTTGTCTCAAATCCTGACCCTCAGGGTTGGCTTCACAACCAACGGGAGCTGGGAAATACGTGTTGATTTGGAGGAAGCACTGCGATATATCTTTGGTTGCTTCAGGGAAGGCTTTGGCCCCTTGAAATTCTTTTTTTCCTCCCTTTTTTCCCCCATGGGACCAGTTGGGGTAGGCATCAAAGAAGGCAGATAGGAAGGAAAGAAAAGAGGTGGGCAGCAGTAAGAGTTAATCCGACCAGTCGTCCTCATCAAACTCAGAAGAGTCATCTTCCGAGTCGCTGTACTCAACAGCAATGCGACGTGACAAGATGGTGGCCACGTCATTGCCCACGACATCCCGCTTCTCTTGTTCCTGCTGCTCCTCAACCCTGCGCAGCTGAAAGCCTGGTGAGAAAGAGAGAGAGAAGGGTTAAGAAGGTAAGTCAGTCGCAGAATCCATCTAGGACCAAGAAAAGGGAAATGGCCACTGGTGGGTAGACTATGGGCAAGGACAGCAAAAAAGAAGGATCCTCTGAGAAAACAAAGAGGGAAATAAAAAATAAAGATGAAGGTTTATGAAATGGTAGCCCTGGTGCTGTAAGTATGTCTGAAAGGAAGTCTGCTATTCTTCAGTTTCTAGCTCTCAGGCTGGTGACGATGGCACTTTTCACGAGGCTCTCAGTGGGGACTGGCCACCACAATTCATCCAGTAGGCATACCGCCTGCCCAATTCATTGGTTACCACAGAGCTCTGCTGCCCTAGGTTCTCTCTCCTAGACAATCCTTCAGCTCCTTGAGAATCACAAACAGAAGAAACCACTCTAGTTCCTTGGGACCAGACCCGGCCTCTGACAGAAAGACAATGCCCCATGAGAGCGAGATGATGATGAGGGAGGGGAGGAAGGTAGGAAGAAAGCAAGGAGACAAGAGGAAAGTGATAGGAGAAAAAGGGGAGGAGGAAGTGGGTAAGAAAAGAAGAGAGCAGGAAGGAAGGACATGAAAGGCAAAAAGGTGGAGGACAAGGAGTGACTGAGCCCAGCTGAGGAAGTACCTTTTAGGGCAGTGATTCTTGTTTTTCTCTAGGACACAAAATGGACACAAACACACGCAAAGCTTAAATTTTCAAGGAGTTCAAAGATCCCAGGTTAAGAATTCTTTACTTGAAACCAGGGTGGAAAGAAATCTAAATCTCCATATTTTTGGGGTGAAGTCTTTCTTCAGGCTGATGTGAGAACTGAGGTCCCAATCTCTTCCACTCAGTGAAGGCTATTCCTCGGAAAGGGCACAGAACCCCTTACCCACCCTTCACTCATCCCAGCTGCAGAAAGACAGGGTTTCGTGATCCCGGACCCACCACTGGGATTTACCTTGGCGGATGGCTGACAGCAAGTCGCTGCGGGCATCGCTCACAGGAGGCAAGGAGGACTTGGACTTGGGCATATCGGAAAGTGGTGGTGGTGCGGCAGGCTGGCCATCTACACCACCACAAGGGAGAGGAGGGGACCCTGGAGGAGGGGGAGGGGGAGGAGGAGGTGGTGCTCCTCCCGCTGGTTGGGACAGGGGAGGTGGTGGCAGAGTTGGGTAGTCAGCTGCTGGCGGTGGGGGAGGAGGTGGAGGGGCAGCAAAATCGGGATGAGGTGGAAAAGAGGGGGGTGAAGGTGGTGGTGGGGTCGCTGGGGATCCAAATCCTCCAGGTGGGGGTGGGGGTGGGACGCCTATCATTGGAGGTGGAGGCGGAGGGGCAGGTGGTGGAGCAAAGCCAGGTTTGGGGCCCGGCGGAGAGCCCAGAGGAGGAGCTGGTGGTGGATGGCTTGGGCTGACCACACTGGGTCTTTTGAATCCAGCTAAACCAGACCCCCTTTGGTTGTTGTCAGCTGGGTAGCTAAAAGGACAAAGAAAAAAGACCCATCATCACTTTCGGCATGCAAACATCCACCCATAGTTAATCTCTAAGCCTAGGTTCATTTTGCTTGACTATATCATTTCATTTTGACTCAAATAGAAAGAAAAATCTGGGAATGGTTGAGAATGAAATGGGCAGCCTTCTAAGATAATGAGCTTTCCCATCAGAAGAGGAGTGTAAGCAGAAATTGAGATAAACTAGCTGAAAGAAGTGAACTTGGGATTCCTCTATCAGGTAAGGGCTGCCCAAGATCAACTCTTAGGTCCCCCTCAAACCTTTCAGCTCTTCAAGGGAAAGCACCCTCCTGAACTTTCCTCTAAAATCAACGGTCAGTTTAATCCTGCAGCCAGGACCAAGAAGGCATGCAAGAAAGAACTGGAATAAAAATTCAAACACCGCTCACCCACCAGGTTCTGTTCCTCAGGCTATTAACATTCACTAGATCTTGCGAGGGCAGGAAACCCAAGCCAAGCTAACCAAGCCTGAGCAGGGTACAGATTTAGGTGAAGGCACCTTCAGTGTTCATGTGGGAAACTTGAGAGAGACTGGAGGGTCTGAGGGTCAACAGAAACAGGAAATGAATGTGCCAGCCAACTTGACCTGAGTTGAGAGAGGGTTAAGGTGTACCTCTCCTGGGTCAGGTATGCTCGGCTGCAGCTGCAAGGTCTCAGGCCACGTGTGAGGCCGAAGGGCTTCTTTTTTCCACCTTTGTATCTGCCCTGCACTAATAGCTAGCTACTCCTTAGAAAAGCATCCATCTTGGAATTTTCCACAGACTTTAAGCCTCAGCTACATCTGACAGGACAATCAACAGGAAGTGATATGGGAGGCAGGAGATTTGGGAACAGAGGCTTTAAAAGCCAAGAAGAATGGGGCTGAAGGAAGGGGAGCTTAAGCACTGCTTTATTCTCCATTTGAGGAGTCCTCAACATATACAATCTCTGACTGAACAGTGTCCAAGGAGAAAAGTGGACCAGGCATCAGAAAGAAAATAGTAACTGTGAGGAAACACGGAAATCCGAACACTCATCAGAGCCCCCGTCTGCCATTACTTGCTAACGCTTTCCCTGTACACCTCTGCCAGGGACACTGACACATATCAAAATGGACAGGTTCTGAGTTTCATCTCTTTTTTTCCCTTTGTTTCATTTTTTCTGGAGATTCTATCCAATGTGAAATGAACTAGAAGCAACAGGAGAGAAAGGTGACTACTAGGTTCCTAGATAACTGGACAAAGTATCTGATAAATATTTTATGGACAGGTTATATTATACTACTTCAATTCATGCTGAGTTCAGGTATAGCTAGTAGTGAAGAACAGAGTCCAGTCAGGTTGGACTCTGCCTCCTACTAGCTCTGTGACCTTACGTAAATTCACTGACCTCTCTGTGCCTTGCCATTTACTCATCTATAAAATGGGTACCTTTCTTAAGAGAACTCTTATAGAAACAAAGTAACATATATACTGTTTGGCATAATACCTAGCACCTTACAAACACCTGATAAATGTTAATTATTTCTATCATCTAGACAGATTTGCCTGAAGTTATTTTAGTGGTCCCGGTCTGCATTTGGAACTCTTATTTTGTAGTTGGGTAGACGGTCTACCTGAATTCTGCTGGTGGAGGAGGCAAGCTGTCCTCAGAGAAAGGAGAAGGTGGAGAAGTGGAGTCTGACTGTGGTGGTGGTGGGTAGTTGCTCGCATCCATGTTTTCAACAGAGCCAATGCTGCCATTCTGGTACACCGAGATAGATGGATACCTGATAATGAACCCATGCAATAACTGTCATTTACAAAGTCTGAGTGGCACTCTCTTGCTTTCTTAAAAGATCCCACAAAAATGCATTTGATACAAAAGCTATTAAGGAGAAAAAGTAAGTATATTCCCTATATAGTTTCTGTTATACTGAAACTTTATTTTAGGACTAAATATTCTATTGTTTACTATCTCCCAGGTGTTTCTGCTGGATTGTTTGCAGAAATGGAATTCAACCCAGATTATCAAAACCATGCTGTTCCTTTCTCAGTGCTGGCCTTGTCAAACCCAGCAGTTCTTTAAATTCTTTCCCAAATGTTAGGAGCAGCCTATACCCAAATCCCAGTCTGTCTTGTGGCAAAGGGCAAAGCCAAGCCCCAAGGCTAGTGAGGTGCAAACACATGACTGGCACACAGCCTGGTTTTGAGGTCGGCAAGCCTCTGGAGTGCTCATAAGGCCAAGGAGGCATTTGATTGCAAAACCAAGCTGAGGACAAATGCAAGGTGCTGTGTGGTAGTTAGATGTGGTCTCTCTGCCGGGTCTCTTATCAAACAAAATGAGCTGCCAATTAAAGTAGGGTGCTAGGGCTTGCTTCATGAAAACCTGCCCCTCAGAGCACTGTGCCTTGGATGAAAACCTGCTCCTCAGAGCAATGTGCTCTGGCCGAACAACAACAAACCTCCAAATAAGTCCAAATATACCAAGCGGCAGCTAGCAAAAAGTGTCCTGTTCTACTTCACCCACCCCTCCCCCTTCTTTCCACCATTATTGCGTATCTAAAATAGACCCCTGGGAAAACAGAGTTGGAGGAAACTAACTGAATTAAATGATGCTCTGATGTGGAAAATCCCCAAGGCCTGGACTCCTATAGGCTTGGCACAGCTCTTATAGGTTTGCCAACAAGCATGTCCAGGTAGACCAGCCATGCAGCCCAACCACAAACCTCCTGGTCAACAGAAAAATGGGAGGCAAAATTCTCATTTTTACCATCCCCATTCCACCAAAACAAAAACCACACACAACACCTCAAAAAACAAACATAAAATAATTGGCATATTCTGAATATGCAAGCTCCTAGCCTTAGAGTCACTGAACCTATGACAAGGGCCTGTCTGAACAGGATAGGACCATGGAATAAAATGGCCCTTTTACTGAGATGAAGGTAATGGAGGTACCCTCAGGGCTGATTTCCCTGTGGAGAGAAAAGTTCGTTTTCTTTCTCGCCATCTTCATCACTCTTTAAAACAAATCTCTTAATCCAGGAAGAACAGTGTCAGAAGTGTCAAGATTTTTAAAAGTCAAGATTTTCATGGTAGAGTTATTTCTAAAACTCAACTCTTTCCTTTTATCATTCCTAGACTCCCGGTATGGGCTGGCATGGTTCTCTGTCAGCCAGGATGCAATGAATTTAGGGGAAAAACCAGGGCGACATTCATGCCTAGCAGTCGTGGTGACTTGGCTTTGAATGTCACATAGGCTGGACACCAGGAGAAGCATCAAATCAAGCTTTAAAACAATCCTCCCCCACCTTCCCTTTAAACCTCTAGTGGGATTTGGTATTGGGAAATGGGGTCAGACTGACATCTACTATTTTTCAGTGGAGATATATAGCCTCAATACTGGCTAAGTGACCTTTCCCACACTGTCTCTGAGGTCTGCTTTCAGTCCCTTGGCCAGCCTCTCTCCTGAGACGGGCAAAAACTGACTGAAAAGTTGCTCTGGTGATGCGCTCAATTCTCTGCCTCGCCCTCCCCACTCCTGTGAGATGCCCAGCTCTTAGGCACAACCTTCAAATCGAAGCTCTGGAGGTGAAGGGCTCCCAAGACCACTCTTCTTCCTTTTGCAATCTTTCCTTTGAGGCCTTGACACGTACCAGTGTCTGTCAGAGTAAGGGCGCTGGAAGCCATGGGCGTTCTTTTCCAGAACACTTTGGTCACCTCTTTTAAACTGCTGAGTCTTGATTTATTTAGCAAGTTTTAATCACCATATGCTGCACTTTTAAGTAGCTGATTAACAGTAGTATTGATCTAAGTCATACAACTAGACTTCAGGGGCTGTTAAAGGTGTCACACCAGAGCTGTCAGACTGTTGCCCCCGAGTCCCCAGCCCCTTCAAGGAATGATACTCAGAGTATAAAAGCACCACCTACCCAGAAGGTCCCAGCTTTTCTTTGGATTCCACAAATTCTTGTCCCATCTTCATTTTCTCCCATTCTTCCTTACGTGTCTTGATTTTACGTGGGTTTACATTCCCTCGATTTGGATTATCTTTCTTTTCTTTCTATAATGAAAAGAAAAAGAAAATTCTTTGTAAAACGTTTTCCAAAGTTCTTCATCAAAATTCCATCCACCTTCACGGATGCACACCCGAGAGAGGAACTGCTTAGACAACGTACAGTAACTACAGCATTTATAGAATTACTGAGTTTGGAGTGACCTAGAGGTCTCCTAATCCAAACCATAATTCTGGACTCGAACACATTTGCTCAATTCTACATTCAAATATCTCTAGGAATTAGAAACCTACTACCTCTTTGGGTAACTCATTCATGTTTTTGAGTAGCTCTAATGGTTAGAAAGTTAGTAAAAGCTATTTGTTATTTGCTCTGCCATAAAGGTCAGTCAAGAGATACTTGAAATAATGACAGCTGTAGATATCTGGGGTAGATATAAGGACATAGTTAATAAAGAAAACAAAACAACTAATGAAAAATTCTTCAGCTTATACAGCTGTACTAGCCCCTGGTGCTCTCTTGGGACTCCTGGCAGCCATGCTAATGGGATTGTGAAGTTGCAACTGGTAGGTCCCATGCTTACACACATCACTGGGAGTCTAAGGAAGGAGGAACATCTCCCAAAACTAGGCCTATGCCCTCGCCTCCACCCCACTCCACCAGTAGTGAAGGTGTTAAATTGCTCCTGTTGCAAATCAAACACTGTAGAAGCTAGTGCTGATCTCTGAGAAATGAGCTGCAAAACTGGCAGGAAAGGGACTAGCTTAGCTCAAGTGTCCAGCAGAGTCAGGTGCAAATTGCAAGAGAAAGAAATGGTGAATAGAAAAGTCAATTTCTAAAACTCAGCCTGAATATACTCAATTGTTAATAGCGCTGGGGGGAACACACACATTTTTGGTGTGATTTCTACTTTCATCTTGGTTGTGCTTGGACTGGACACATTTTTTTTAGGAGTTTCACCTGGCATCCAAGCAAGCAGCCACTCGGAATGATTACTTCACATAAGACTGGCTTCCTTTTTATCCCCCCTCCACAATCGTGCTTACTGATGTGTAGAACAGAGGCCCCTTTCCCCTCACCCTATGCTTTCTCTTCTCTTTCATGATATCCTTGGTGTCCTGCAGCATCTGCTCCTTCCAAAGATCAAAGAAGTATGAAGGGTCTGTGTAGAATTTGAGTGCCTCTTTCCCATCGTCCCTGGGATAGAAATGAAGACAAGTAGCTGTCAGTAGATACATGAGCTCCTAACCAAATCCAATATTCCAAATACCTACCATTTAGCAGTTTTTACACTCAGGAATCAAGAAGTCATTCAAATTGATTGCGTATTTCCTGTCCCATACCAGTATTCCAATGCCCCTTAAATGCCACCTCTTCTATTTAGCTGGCTTTTTAAGAACTTTAGCTTTACTTTCAATTCCTGGTAGAGAAATGTGCATGGTCAGGGCAAAGAATGGGCTATACCATCAGGGATCCTGATTATTTCTAATGGTCTACATGGCCACAGACATCTCCCTGAGGATATCCTGATATTCTGGCATATCAGAGGGGGTTTCTGCCACTGGTTCCCTTTCTCTGCATCAATTCTCCTGGACTCTCTAGGAAGCATTAGTGCTTCCCACCTACCTGAAACCTATGCACACCTGTATATATGTATACATAAATACACATGAATGTATATATTGTGCAGCTGTTAATCCTCTATACAAACAAATAACCACAGCACTCCACTTTTCTTGCTTCCTTCTAGAATAGCTTAGCATCTGCCCACTTCCGCAACCACAAGGGGGCCCCACTGAGAAGACAGCCAGATGTTTTATGACCCATGATTTAATTACCATCTCTTAGTGGCTGTGACAGGGTACAGAGTGAGTTACTGAGTGTCAATGTAAGAGTTATCTGCCAGACTCAATGATCCTGGTTGGAATCCTGCACTTTGGTATACGTCTCTCTCACTTTCCAGAAAGTATGTGTTTAGGGGGTGTACATCTATTTTAACACCGTTCTAAACTAAAAAGAATTGGAAAGGCAACTCTATTTCCTGGTTACTAATCCTATCACAACACACAGAAAGCATTTCTAAATCAAACACTAATGATTTTTATATTAAATCTTGTTTTAAGTTAGCTGTACCTCCACTCATTTCTGTTAGGCCAAATTCAGAACACTGAGAGGAGAATGTTAAAAAGGAAAATACCATTATCTAAAGAAGAAACTTGTCTTAATATGTTTACCCTATCCTACCGCACAAACCCTATACCATATTCTGTTCAATATTATCAGGCGTGTACTCCCTTCTGCCCCACAACTCTTCTGCCTAAATCCAACTAAATGATAGAGGCTGCAGTCAAATCTCTGTCCTGCTATGCTAGCTAGCCCCTTTGAAAGCCAAGGGACAAACATAATTTCACACAGTAATAACATAGGATAGATGCCATGTACTTTCTCGATATCTGTGTGAGAAGCTTCCAGGCTCCCTGGATCAGGCTGGTGTCCCTGAATTTCACATACACACAAATTCTACTTTGCAGTATACCCATGTCTCACAGAACATATCTGCCTCTAGCTATCTGTAATTACTTTTTACCTGTTCCAAAGATATTTGTGATGCAAGCAAGATAAATATTCACTTTCTGGCCCTGCTCAGTGGTTATTTGCAGGATGATAACACTACTAGCCCACTACAGGGGAAGGGCTTGAAGTTGTCTATAAGGCTACCTTCTTTTTCAAGTCCAGCTATAGCAGTGTAGGTCCTGTTTCAGAGGGGAATGTTGAAAGGATGTTTAAAACAAAGTGAACGATACTCATTTGGAAAAATGCCAGTTACTCCTTAAGCTTTAGAAAGACCCCCAGGGCCCAGAGCAGCCAGTCCACAAGGCTGGCCCCACTAACACGCCCAAACATCTGGTAATCTCGTGGTTTCCAAGTAAGTGGGAGCCTTGCTAGAATGTTGCCCCTGGGATGCATGCTATAGGACTGCCTTGTAACAAAGTCCTTTTGGTTCTACAATAACTAAATTCCTTGGATGGAATCCAAGATGGACCTGGCTTATACCAAATTAAACTCTGTAGCATGCAATGCTATAGCAAACTTTCAATATATATTACATTTACTATGAATTTCAGAAAGCAAACAATAAAAGGTGACAACTGTTTATGTGGTAAATGTTAGCTTCTGCTGCCACAAGCAACTCTAGGGTAGGTAGTAAGCTTTCAGATACAATTCTCTAACATAAACAATATCTTTAAATAAAGACAATCTAATATTGTTAACCACAGGCCAAAAAAAGGATCTGGCCAGATTACCTGTATGGGGTAAGATTGTTGAGAGGTGGAGGAGTATCACAAGTGTTGTATGTTTCTAAGACAGGTACCGGGAGAGAGTTTCTGTCAAAAAGCTTCTGGTCTTGAATGGTAGAGCTTCTGAAGGCCTTTCGGGTGTTGATTCCTTGTAGTGACACTGAGAGAAGATGGAAGGCATTAGAAAATGGACGACAGGCTATTTGAGCAAACACTGAGTCACACCAGTCGGAGAGGCCTCAGCTGCTACATTTCTTGGCTGCGGCTGTCTGCAGCCAGGTTTTTTTCCTTCTCCCCCTCTGGGGAAGCCCCACAAGGCTGTCAGCAGCCCAGCCATTTCACGACTGAACAAAATGAGGCAACACAAAGGTTTACTATGTGGCCAGATCTACCAGGCCTCTCCTTAGGAGGAATGAATCTTCCAAGTACTTTTATGGTAGCAAAATAAGACTGGGGGAAGGGGACTTTGAGAAAGAGGGAATTGGGGGAATGGGAGAGAGGGAGTGTGTGGGAGTGTGGTAGAGCTAAAAAGGTTTCTCTACACCACCCAGGCTTGTGTCATTTCAAAGCAGAACTCCATAGGTCTGTGATTTCTCCCCTCACTTTTTTTTATAACTCAGAAAAAAAACTCTTAAGAAACTGCTCAGCAGAGCCTGCAAATGCTGAGCTCAGCTCCCTTACCTTCTTCTTCCTTGGGATCCAGCTGAGTGACTTTAACTTGTAGGCGGTCGACCCTCTCAGCAAGGGAGCTTACCCGAGAGGCAAAGGTATTTGCCTGAATAAAGAGCTCTCCAAAAATGTCCTCTGCATATTTACCTGAAAGAGCAAAGAAACCAAGTCACTAGTGCATAAAAGTGACATAAATGGTCAGAAAAACTGGCTGCTAAAGATCATACTCCCCACCTCCCAAACAACACCCTCCCAAGATGGTTTGGGTTATATGTAGATGCTTGCTTTTGGACATAGAGACATACCCTCCAAGCTTGGGCATTCCGCATATGTTCTATAACAGTCTTCTTGGCGAACTCTAAACAATCACAAAACTCAAAGGAGGCTGAATAAAATCAAAAAGGTGTAATACAAAAAAATGAATCCTGGAAGGGTAGACAATATGTCTACACATTTGCCTATAGCCCTCAGCTCCTTGCTACTCTATAAAAGCACCTTGTAAAATGGTTCTGGAAAACAGATTGGAAGTTAGAAGGACCTTCTAGGTGTCTACAATTAACGTAAAAAATAAGAAATTACATCCTCAATGGAGCCTCAAAAGTACATTGAACCACCATGATGAGTTGTAGTATCTTCGAGGAGCCTTGAACTTATCAGCAACTCACAGCAGAGACTTATAACTTCTTCTAAGGGGTGAAAAGGTTATTTTATGTTTTATAACTTACAACTTTGAAAGTCTTTGCTCTAGGTTATAATCCTTCAAATCTACATCTCAGGGAACAAATAAAAAGCTGAAACTTTCAAGCCCTCCCTGAAAAACAGCATACCAGTGGTTCCTTTCCACAATGTCTTGTTTTTTAGAAAAAGAAAAGAGTTTCATAGACTTCAATACTTTCAACCCTGGAATGCAAGGAGAATTTGCAGCCAAAGAAACATAACAGCAATTTGATGCTACCTCCATATTGTCATTCCAAGCCACAAAGCACATTCTTGCTATGAATGAAAAGTGGTGCATACAAGCAAATATACCATATGAGTTTCTTATTTGCGAGGTGAAGGCTGGCATAAGTGACTGTGCTCAACTAAAAGATGATTTCTTTGAGAACTATTTAAAGTAGGCTCTGATTTTTAACTTTAAACTTCATTTATGCTTAGTCTACACTTGAGGGGGAAAAATTAGTCTAAAAGGCCAGAACTGCACCTTCAGGTTGAACTGTAGCTCACCTTCCTAGCGTAACCTGGAGAGTAAGGACAAGACCAATCAACTGCATATTTTGAATTGCTGGTAAATTTAGTCAATAAGGAGTTTCTAATCAAGGAAAGGAGCAAGTCTTTGCATACTGAATGGTTTTGGGATCTAAACAGCTATGGGAAGCTCCTGGGCTCAAAGGACTGAAATTGGCTAACGAGCTGCATTTCTATCCTGCAGGTTGACAATCCTATCTGATCCCTGCCCATAATATGGCTAAGTTCCTATTAAAAAACATAATGTATCATGCTCGTCCAGGTAATGGAAAATTACAAGTAGAAGGCTAAAGCTGAGAAACATGCGATATTATGTGTGGAAAATAAACCAGGCTCGAAAACCATCCAGCAGGAGGAAAAGAAAACCCCAACTTAACTTACCTTCAGGTCACCAAGAGAGTACCCACGATTTCCCGCTCCTCAGTGAAGGGAGCAGTGATAATGGGAGTGGAGGCTTAAGTGTGGCACAATGGTTTTCAAGATAAAATCTTACAAAGAACCCCAACACATAAAAATGGTAACACTGAGAATGGTATCTGAAGGAGTGAGGTAGTGTGAAAGCTTCCCCACTGTCATATCACGTCAGGCCCTATGCATACTTAAAACTACAAGATGATACAGAGAAGAAGCAGTGGACTTCAAATCAGAGAATATGGATTTAAGTCTCACTTCTTCCTATTTATACCTGTGTACTCTTCAGCTATCTCTTAGCCTTAGTTTCTCCATCTGTAAAACAGGGATAACTATATCTACCTAAGTTGTCACAGGATTAAATGAGCTAAAAATGTAAGCTGTTACAATGAGCTTCTTCCTTATACTGCTCAACCACAACAGATGATTTAAGAGTGTGAATATCTAAATATCTTAAATTGTATGCTTAGAGGAAATTTTAAATATAAGTCCAGTCAGTAATTTGATAGTCTCTATTCTTCAAGCACTAAAAATTACTCCAACCTCTAAAAACAGAAGTGTGATACTTATACAGGAGAACACCAAAATGCCTTGTTCAGAGTTAAATTTCACTCATTCAAGGCAGACTCACCATCACATCAGGACATTCATAAATAGATATCACATTTTGCAAAAGATTCCAGAAACAATCTTTTTTTTTTTTTTTTTTTCCCTTAGCAGTAGAACTCTTCAAACGAAATTTTATGTGGAAGTGGAACAGGTAAAACTGATTTTTTAAAAATGTGAAGCTACTCTTGTTGAAGTCTGAGTGGGAGTCTTGGAGTACCCCCACCTCCAATGGCATGGCCCCATCGCACTCAGTTAGAAAACCCAAGATCACAGCATGATTTCTTAATGACCGAAGTGGGGGTTCCACCCTCCTGGGTGGTCAAAAGTGCTGGCTGGCTGGTTGTACCTTTATTTCCTAAGATATGGCAACCTAATATGTGAAATACCAATCTCACTGCACTAAGGGAAAATAAGAATTCTGGATATGCTATGATGGAGCAATCCACGGCTGTGGAATTTTTAGTTTTGTGCTTTATCCATTCCATAATCAGACTTTCTCTACTAGACTGAGCATTTCTGGCTACAGTACAATACATGAGGCCAAGGTCATGTGCTTGAAGCACATGTGAACCCATTCCTGTGCGTCTCTCTGCTAAATGAAATCCTAGTATCTTTCAAGGACTGGTTCAAATGTAACCTCTTCTATGAAGCCTTCCTTGACCCTCCTTATCCCCACCTGTGCTCCCACTTCCCATAGAAAGTATTCCTTCCTTCCCTGCATTCACTGTGTACCAACAGCATGAAATGGTGGAGAGAATATAGGCATGAATCATTCAATAAACATTCACTGAGCTTCTACTGGGTGCCAGGTACTATACAAGACAGATAGTTCAAGGACAAACAACACATAATTTCTACCTTCAAATTACTTTTTAATATGAGATATAATTTTCAATATAATGTGGTTGGTAAGAATACAGGCATGTAGTAGGCACTCAGAGGAGCGCACTGATTCCACCTGGAGGAGGCGATCCCTGAGCTGGGCCTTAAAGATCAGCTACCAGGATGGCAAGGGGTCTCCAGGCAGGAGGAAGAGCCAGGGCACTACATGGAGGCATGAGAGTATGGTCTGTCTCAGAGGAACTACAAGTAGTTGATAATTCACTCTTTTTCCCTTCCTCCAACCCGCCCCCCCTGCCCCCCACTACCCTCTTTCCTTTTTTTATTTTAAAGGATTCTTTTAAAATGATTATAAAATGGGAGAAGATGGATTACAGAAAAGAAAGCTGGAAAGGAAGGCAGGTCGTGAAGGCCAAGCCCAGGAACTCAGATAATTTCATAGTGAGGAACAGGGGAGATACATAGTTTACATTTGTATTCTTAGTTTAAAAACACGTTTTATATTACAAACGTTAACACAGACTTAACTTTTAAAAATTCAAACAACTCAGAATTATAAAAGATTTTTAAAATGTGAGATTTGCATTTTGGGCAGACCACTTTGGCAGGGGTATAGATTTAAGATTTATAAGATTTTTACATTCATAGAATTAAGGGGATTGATCAGAAAAAGGGAGGTCAAAGGGAGGCTAGGGCAACAGTTAAGATGAGAGTCAACAAAGGTCTGAATGATGGCAGAGGCCGCAGAGACCTAGAATAGGGACTGAGATGAGATAGCAGAGACCTAGAATAGGGACTGAGATGAGGCAGCCTCAGGAAGTCTGACTTGCCTCACGCTGGTGGTGGTGTCTCTCTAGGCAGGTTACCTTGTTTTTCTGAGCCTTCATTTCTTCACCTGAAAAATGGGAATACTACCACCTACTCTCATAAGATTACTGAGAGGATTACAAGGTCCTATTAAAATCTGGCATAAACTAGGAAACCAACAAACATGAATGAGTTCGCTTCTCACCCTCTCCTCATTGTCCCTTTAAGAATTATTTATTCCTGTCTCCTCTGGTAGATTATGAACTCCTGGAAGGCAGAGACCATTTCTTATTATCACTGTATCCCCATAGCATCTGGCACATAAAACATGTTCAAAACATGTTTATAGGATGAATAAAGGGTCAGTTAGCCCCACAATGTAAGGAAATCTTGTTTCTGTAGGCAGAAGCTGACCTCGGCCTTCATCTCAGCTTCTTTAAGATAGGAGTGGTCTGATCACAGTGAAAGAGTGAGCAATGGCATCCATCAACACTCCCCTGGAAAAACACCTGAGAGAGAGCATAACTCCTGCTGAGTGAGAAAAAGAAGCATCATTAGCTAGATGTCCTTTGTCCTATGGAGAAGGAACCAGTCTATGATTGACTTCTACCCATTTGGCCTTCTTAGGGTGACAGAAGCAGAAATGATGCTTTTAAGAAGCAGTGAGGCTCTCTGCAGCCTTCATGTGGTTACTTGTCAGCCGCACTGCTGTTGCACTGCTGTCAATGTTCCTTTGTGTAAGACAGGCACTGGCAGGGTTTCATTTCTTCGTGACGCCCATCCAGGTTTCCCTAAGCCCTGGATTAACTGAGATGGTCTCTAAGCTAGGTGAAGGCTTAGGAATCTCAGAACCCATACATCATCTGGTCACAGAGCTCTGTTTCCTCAGGCCCCTATTTTAAAGGCAGCGTCTATTACTGTCTGGGGGAATGCAGGCTTTCTTGATATTCCACTGCCTTCACTAAGGGCAGTGATGCGGTAGAAGGGGTGTCTGAAATAATTCACACTAAGATGCCTTTGCTAAGGAAGATCACTAAAATGGCATTTTGACGGAGGTTCTTATGGGAGCTGGAGTGGCACTAGACAAATGCACAGCCTATCCAAGCATCTGCCCTTCCCATACCTCGGCTTCAAGCAAGCAAAGTCAGCTTGATTCAGAATGAAATCCAAACCACATGCATGTACCTCACCCAAAGCAGTCTCATTTATACTTGCCAATTAAAAAAAAAAATCCAGTTGAGCTGGCTTTCTCTCAGCTCCAAATCAGACTGGGCTTAACCCCCATCTTCATCCCAGAGAAGAATGGCTCCAGCTACAATTTGTGTCACCGTGTGCTCACGCAGCTCACAAAACTCCCAATACCCCAGAGACTGCAGAAGTAATTTGTACCCTGAACTTGGACCTGGGGGCTTGCAGCACAATTAAATGTGTACCAGGGCAGATAAGTCAGCCGGAATCTCTGAGTGCATGTTTGCTTTACTCCTCTTTGGAAATAAAAGGAGGGGTGTCGGGTAGATAAAGACTATTGGCACATTTGAGGCTTCAACAAAGTCAGGCTACATCGAACAGCTCGTGCAATTACAGGCACATTCCCCAAACCAAGATACTGCTCTGTGAACCTCCCACTTTACACACAGAGAATTCTGCTCTGTCATTCCATCTGCAGTTTCTGCTGCAGCCCTTCCTGCCACCCTTCCCACAGATTTCTTTTGAAGCAGGTGGAGGGAGAGGTGGGGGAACCTAGAGAATGGTGGTAGATGAAGAAAGGGCTGAAGGGAAGGATCTGTACTAAAAAGGAGCCTCTCTTTGGAGGGGGGGTGGGATGCATTTTCACATTACCTAGGGAAGGCAGATGGGGGAAAAATAGGAACACAGGAGGAGAAGGAAACTAAATAAAGAGCACCAACGACCCCTGAGGGCAAAGCACAGGCTCTCTGCGGCACTCACTCAGGCTGCCCAGCTGTCGGATGACATTTGCCAGGGTGATGTTGGTCATGCATTCCAGCTCGCTTCTAACGCTAGGCAACGTCTGACGGCACAGGTGCCTTGGCTCGATGTTCCTCGTTACTAACGGCATGGTGGACCTGCTTCAGGCAATGTTCTGAATGATGAAAAACAACCTAAAAAAGAAATAACAGGAAAGTATTACTCAACCACAAATTCCAGGCACACTAGGGCTCTGTGAGCCTTTTTTTTTCTTTTGACTTGCTCTGATCTAAAACAGCTTTAAAAAATCTTCTCTCCCCCAATCTTTTTTTCTTTTTAAAGACTTCTCCTCTACCACCACCATGCCCCTCTCCCCGTTTTTTGAAAGGTTTGCTAATAGAAGGCATGCTGAATCAGTTGGGAAACTCTGAACCGTTGACTGCTAGCTGAGGTACACAGGCAGCATAAAAACCTAAAAATCTCAAAATGACAACTATGCTCCAACCAATAAGAGTCTCCAGAGGCAAGGAGGCATGGTCAGAAAACAGCCCATTCAGCAGATCCTAGATAGTGCAGATCCAAGATGGTGCAGATCCTATCCTTGGTACAGATTCTGTGCATAACCAGGACAGATCAGATTCTAGACAGTCAATTACAAGAATCAAAAAAGAGCTGTCATCTGTTAATCTCCACAAAGAAATTAAGTTGCCAATAGTGATTCCATTGATCTACATCAGGACATAACTTATCCAGTTCTTCCCTGATGGAGGGCTGTTAATGTACAACTAAATACTAGTTGCCAGTATCTATTAACACTACTAAAGTTTAGTAAATTGACAGAATGAAAGAATATCAAGGAAAATTTTACATGTTCAATATGTAAAACATGATGCAGAGCAAACTGAGCTTGCTATAAGATTCCCTAGTCCTTTCTCTTCTACCCAACAGCTCCCTTTCTCCCATCTGGTTCAACACACCTGGGCCAAAAGGCTCTTGAGACAGCAGGAAGTGTCTGGAGCAGATCAGGAAACCTTCCAGTTACTGTTTCTTATCCGCGGCTGAGCCTTTCCTAGGAAATCCCCCAGCACTTCAGGTTCATGCTGAGCTATTGTTTTAGAGTTAGATTACCAAATTCCTAGCTTTACAAGGATAGGAACAGATTTTAGTCTCAACAAAATGGATATGACGACTGCCAAGGCACATTGGGTTGTGGTCCTATATCCCCATCTTATGAAACTAAAGATATCTAAAACCAATCTAAGGATTTTCATGCTAAGGAAAATGGCAAATTCACTTCAAATAAAAAGGTGAAACTTAAAGGAAACATACCCAAGTCCCCAATATTGCAAACTCCTCTTAAACAACAAAAGAAGCAAAACAGGTTTACTTACATCAAATCTTAAAACACCAGCTCATCACCAAAAAAAAAAGTTGATTGTAAATACAAAATGCTTAAATCAAGCTAAATATCATAGATCTTAAAAGTGAACCAACATATTGTCCAACCAAAAGTTTAAAAAAAAAAAAAAAGCCCTTCGGGCTCAAAGGGGGAGTACAACCCTTTGGAACAGACTGCTCCTTGTTATGGACATTCTGATCTGCTAAGAGTAAAAATAAAACAGGAAGCCAGCAGCTTGGGGAACAAGATTTCCTGTCACCAACAGCAACAGCCCAAGAACCAAGAGAATCAGCTGTTTGCTCATAACTTTGAACCTCCCTTTAATAGTCACTGTGTGGCAGCTGTGCCTATCTTTGGGGTGCAGAGGTGTTTCCTGAATATTTGTCTACTGTCAAAGGAAATAATTTTCATTCCATTCCTCTAAGTTCCCCTTTGACTCAACAGGTTTTCTAATCCAAACTCTGGACTTTCCCTTCCAGTATAACTCTTCTCTTACTTAAGGTGAAGGGTACCAGATACTAAGATGCAATCTTTAGGAACTCATGCTGAAGAGAGTTTAGAACAGGAAAGGAGCCAGGGGGTTACAAAGAAAAGAACTTCACAGGGCTCTGTACACCATCATCTGGACACCCGTATTTCAAGCTTTCTGGAAGAACCAGAAATTCAAACGTGGGGTCAGAGTGGTTCCCTCCATTAGCAATACTTTCAGTCTTGTTCCAACTTCTCAGAGAGCTAATGGAGCTGCATCTCATTGAAATTCTGTGTTGAATGTGGCTACTGACAAGTTATTCCAGAAGTTCTCCCTGGACACCTAATGAAAACAGGATTCCAGATGGCTAGGTAAATGTCAGACTGGGGATGTAGTGGTGGCGGGGTGGGCAACTTCTAACACCTTGATACTTTGGCATTTATACCTTCCCAAGTGGGGTTTACCAAATTTTCAATAGAAAGATGCCTTCCTCTTGCCAAAAAGGTACCTCCTATAACCAGCTAAAGAGTACTCAAGAAATGAAAACATCAATAATCATCAAGACAATTAGAAATGCATATCTGCTACTTAAAAAAATGGTCATTTAATATGTTTCAGAGCCAACAAAGAGAGACATGAGTCTCTGTTATATGGAATTACCCATATCACTGCTCATTTTTGTTTTGGATAATCTAGGTTACATTTTGCATAAGAAATATGGAATTATGCATTATCTGAACCACAATAATAACTTCACCAAGACAAAAAAATCCTATGTTCTGGTGAAGATAAACTTAGAAATGGGCCAAGACTTCTAAGTTCTTGACACTCTCAGCTCAGCTTCAAGTTGTGGAGTCGAGACATTGGGTTAGTACACTGACTCTAGCTGTGTGATATTGGGCAATTTTCCTAGAGAAATTAAATAATATAACATATATAAAATGTCCACTACAGGGCTAAAAAAAAAAAGGTAGTTATTTGTAGTTTCACAGATCCTAGTCAAATCTTTCAGCAAAAACAATTTTATTTATTGACAAATATTTTAAAACGCTTTTAACCCTGCTCTTATTATGCAGTAGAATGCAATAGTCACATATATTTAAAGATGAAACCTCAGACTTCAATGAAATTTGGTGGGGTTTTTTTCCTGCAGGTTGCTCCCAGTCATGCTTCTGGACCCACTAAAGAACATACATTGCTCCCTCCTGCACTCTTCCACACTGGGTTCCTCATCTGAATCACAGAACAAACAAAATGATTACAGTGACTATATTCTCATTTCTAAAGACTGTAGATAACTAGCACCATTCCAGATGCTTTGGAGAAAAGTTAATACATTACAGTAGATGTCTAATGACATCAGGGTTTAATTTCACTCATGGAAATCCAGTTGAGAAAGACTCCTTTATCATCAGTAGTCATTTAGTGGAAAATTTGTGGAGCACTGGGTGTTGACTTACCACTGAATTAAGGAAGTGACAGGGTCAAATTTGCATTTTAGACAAATCATTCTAACAGATACAAAGAAGTTATATTTGGGCAAAAGAAGGCTGGAGGTAAGATCAGTGGGGAAACTCTTCACAGGCTAAAAAGGAGACAATGGAAATGGAGAGGGCCATCACAGCTAGCAAATATGAACTGAGACACCACAGACAGGTTAACAGGGGTGAGTCCTGATATCTATAAAACTCCTGATAGTCTGTATAGTTATACTCACAAAGTTATAAAATGTATGTTTCTTTATTTAAAACATCATGGAAAGAGCTAAATGCTAGTGCCAGTCACCGAAATGAAGAGAAAGTGAAGAAAGTAGTGGTTCTTAGCTGAGAAAAGTTTTGAATATCCGTAAGAGTGGAATGCCTTGTTTTTACAGAATCAAAGGAAGGGTTTTTGTTTGTTTGTTTGTTTTTGTTTGTTTGTTTCAGTTATACTTTACTTTGATTAAGGAAAGTATATGCTATACTGATATTTGCTAATTTGGAGATCTGAAAAGGTCTTACCTTGGGGGATGTTACATACGAAAAGAATTAAGTTAGAATCATTGAAAAGATAAAAGTTACGGGGAAGTAGATTTCAATTTAGTTAGTTCCTTTTAATTAGAGCTGTCTTATATTAGAATAGGTTCTCCTTAGAATTTATGGGTTCCCCAGTACCATCCGCTGGATGACCAGCTATCAGACATGTTGGGGTGGGGCAGAGGGGCATTCCTAGACTGTTAAAAAAAGATGATGTTGGGAGGTCAGATTGGATGACCTAAATCAAAGATAATATAATTCTCGCTCTGGGCTTCAGTTTCCTCATCTGCAAAATAAAGGGATTAAGCTAGATGATATTTAAGCAGCTCTAAAATTCCTAGATTTGCTTTTACCTAAACTGCCATAACCTCCTCACCTGTGCAACATGTTTCCACTTGCTTTGTGAACACATGGCCATAAGCAGGTATAGAGACTAGATAGGGGTGAATCATGGTCATGAATCAAGCCCTTCTGTAGGTGTAGATTCATTAAGTTACCAGAACATGCAGGATCCAGAATGGTCCAAAGGACATTCCACACACAGCCCTGAGGTTAAGTTATTTACACCCTGGGAGGCTCCCAGACTGATCTGGGAGTTGGCTACCCAAAAAATTAGCTTTGGACCACTTCCAGACATCCAGCCAGACTCAGCAGCAACCACCATCTTTACCCTTGGCTATTTTCAGCCTAAGGGACTTGAGAATGAGTCCGAGGACAAATAAAAGACTGCAGGTATCCCTTCCTAGCCATGGCCCAGCTGGATACTGACTACTCTAGACTATCAGTACCATAATGGGATTCATGCTTTGAACTGACAACTGGATGAGGTGCTGTTTAAGGTCCCTTCAAACAGTAAGATTCTGGAAGTCTCTATATTTTAAGTTACCATGGACTACTTATATACCACATTTGGTCAATGTAAAGTCAAAAGAAGACTCTGACATCCACTCTACACTTTGAACTCTCACAACTCTGATCCCAACAGCTTGGGGCAGGAGTAGGGTGAGGTGAGAGGTAGGGATTGGGAGGGTAAAAGGTAATAAAGGAAGGCTACATGTGAGAGGAGGATGCACTCATTTGTATTCCACTATGAATTCCTGTTATTATCAGGACAGAAGACAGATGACTGCTCATTCTGGCAATGATGTTTACTATTAGCTGTTTATTATAAACAAACAACACTTCATTTAGAGTCAAGGTCACTGATAACACCTACAGATTTCTACGGTCACATCCAAAGGCAAGTATATCTGAGCTATAGCAATAACCATAACAACAGAAATGCTTCTCAAGGCAGTTCCTCTTTGAAAC